TAATAATTTAGGTAGCTAAATAATAATGATAAAAGAGTACCAATTTCTGTAATTACTTTATTATCATTTAATTTAGAAGATTAAAATTATGCTAGAATATCTCTGTAACGATAATCTAAAGATAAGATTTACTAGCCTGTCTTAACATCCCATAAACTGATAGACTTATCATATCTACCAGAAACTAATTTAGTATCATCAGAAGAGTAAAAAATTTAATTAACAAAATTTGAATGACAATCTAATTTGGCATTTTATTATCCTGTCTTAACATTCCATAACCAGATAGAGTTATCTCCACTACCAGATGCTAATGTTGTACCATCAGGAGAGAATTTGACTGAATAAACATAATGCGTATGACCATGTAATTTGGCTTTTTATTGCTCTGCCTTAACATCCCATAAACGGATAGAGCTATCTGAACTACCAGATGCTAATGTAGTACCATCAGGAGAGAAATTGACGGAATAAACATAATTTGTATGTCCATCTAATTTCGCTTTTTATAATCCTGTCTTAACATCCCATAAACGGATAGACTTATCTGCACTACCAGATGCTAATGTAGTACCATTAGGAGAGAAATTGACTGACCATACAGTTCCAGAATGACCATCTAATTTAGCTTTTTATTATCCAGTCTTAACATTCCATAAATGGATAGTCTTATCTTCACTACCAGATGCTAATGTAGTACCATTAGGAGAAAAATTGACTGACTATACAGTTCCAGAATGACCATCTAATTTAGCTCCCTATTATCCTGTCTTAACATCCCATAAACGGATGGAGCCATCTCTGCTACCAGATGCTAATGTAGTACCATCAGGAGAGTAGCAAATTGAAATTACTGTATCTGAATGACCAACTAATTCGGCTTTGTATTTTCCTGTCTTAACATCCCATAAACGAATGTAATTATCTACACTGCCAGATGCTAATGTAGTACCATCAGGAGAGAAATTGACTGACCATATAGATGATTTATGACAATCTAATTTGGTTTTTTATTATCCTGTCTTAACATCCCATAAACGGATAGAGTTATCTAGACTACCAGATGCTAATGTATTACCATCAGGAGAG